TAATTTGGTGCCACACGCTTGGTATTTCGAGTCAAATTGACGTTATGAACTGCATGTTACAATTTCAAATAAACCATATGAGAAAATGTCAAAATTTGACATATGACATGTCATTCTATTCAGAGTGTCATTTTCTATCGAATTAAGTAAAAAAAAATACCAAATGTGCCATTTAAAAATCAAAAGTCGCTGTCATTTCCAGTGAAACAGGAAGTGACTGAAAACAATTGAATACGTCAATCAATCGTAATTTGTCATATACTAACATACCAACTCTTGTTTTTTTATCTGAAAACATAAAAAAGTTATAGGGGTGAGCCACTTTTGAGACGCACCCGGTATATTCTTAACAGTTATTTTAGTTCTACTAGGTGGTGCATCGTCGTCGTTGGAACCATAGGAAACCTTATGCAAATTTTGATCTGTTCAAAGAAACATATTTTCCCTTTACCGTTTGTCAAGTCCAAAATAACCGAGTTCCAATAGATCTTCTCTAGATCTTCTCTGGATTTTCTTTCCTGTAAATTTAATCTACTAGTTATGTTGCCATATGATATTACGTTTTTTAACTTAAAATTTAAAAAAATCTATTTTTTTTAAATTCCTAATTTAATTTTTTTTTCGCGAAAAAAGCCTTATAGACTGAGAGGAGACTGGTGGTCTTCTGAGAGGAGGTCTTCTGTAATCGAAATATACTATCCCTAAAAATATATGCACTTATTTAAGACTTTCCCTGTATATAAAATATTATCGGTAGTCATTTCCAAGGTAACTCCACGCCTTTTTCCAATGATAAAAAACATAGTCTGTAAGTATACGGAACCCTCGGTGTCCGGTTATTTTTCTGGATCACACGGTATATAGTATAAACATGTTATTTAAACTTTTGTTATATTATTTAAAAATTTATTTATAATTCAACAGAATGTTCAGATATATGACTAAAACATCTTATAGTCTGTTCCACGGGAGGATCTATTATAGCGATATTACTGTGTCTGTCATTTTAATCCAGAGGTAATTGTATTTCCTCTCATTTTTTTGGATGTCGTCTGTCAAGATTTTCTTTAATTCGTTGGGTAGACTATAATTTTAACCTTTTTGATGTTACTAATAAAGAAACATATAATTTTTGATTGTACAATGGGTGTTTGAAAATAAAATATGACAATTTTCTGAAAATGTCATACGTTTTTCTAACTAGTCTAAACCTATATAAAAGGTAAAAGAATACTTTTTCAATTGAAATTTCAACGAAATATATAACCGAATTACGCGAGATTAGAAATTATTTATACTTTTACTTTCAAGACAGGTATTTCACATAATAACACAATTATTTTGTAATTTTGTAAAGTAGTTATAGATTGTAGTTTGAGAGCTCATTTGGAAATTATGGATAAATTTCGTATTTTATTTTAAGTAAATAGATTCAATGAAATTATACCATATGACCGAAAAAACAGCGTCAAAGACGGCTGGGGAATGACAATCGATTATAATTTTGGCTAGGTCAAGCCCTAGACGTTATTTACTTTGCCCGTACCTTTTTATTATTCTTTAATGGCGCTTACTGCCAGGTGGCTCAGAAGGTGGTATTATTTTTATATTGAGTAAAATGGTTTTAAATGATGATGTAGTTTAAAGTTTGAAAAAAATGGAAATAGATTTGTGTGTTTGGAAACATTTTATCCTTTTAATCTTTTATAATGAGTATTAATTTTGGACAAGTTTTTGACGCCGTTTTTTTTCGATCATACGGTATTTTTGTGTCTGTCAATATTTTACTGTTACAAAAATTAAAAAAAAATATTTTTGTGTCAAAAATGTATAAATTAGTATTCTTTATGCACAAACAAAGAAAAAGAAAATATACAGGGCGGTCCGAACTGTATTCCAGAAACTTCGGCAGCATATTCTGCAGATAAAAATAAGTAAAAAAGTTCGTGTAAATGTATGTCCTAAAATGCTTAGTTTCGGAGATACAGGGTGTAGAAGTTTCATTTTTATTTCGACTTTTTCCAAATAATTTCTGAAGTAACGTCAATATTCGGATAAAAATTGCTGTTAATTAATCATAAATTTTGGCATAAAAACATTTCAAATTTATGATTTTCGTCTAATATCTATTTAGTCAACATGTTTAATTTATGTCAATGATGACAGGTAGGATTGATAATTTCTCCAAATATTTTGAGAACCATTACCCGTAGCGATTTTTACCAAGAGACCTTTACGTAAACAACGTCGTAAATGTATATTCTTTTATTCAGTAGTTTTATACAGGTACGGACAAAAAGTTATTAATTTTCAAACCAGTTAAAAAATATGTAGGTGGCGCCATCTACAAGTAGGAGCCATATTGACATCAAAATCAAATTTCTCATGTCAAAATCCCAGACAGCAATTTTTATTCAAATATTAAAGCTACTTCCAGAAATTATTTGGAAAAAATGAAAATAAAATGAAACTTACACCCTGTATTCCAAAAACTAAGCATTTTAGGACATATTTATACCCAACTTTTTTGCTTATTTTTATCTGCAGAATATGCTGCCGAAGTTTCCGGAATACAATTTAGACCACTCTGTATATTGATTGTTTACACATTGACAACAAATGAACCTGATTTTTCAATAAAAAGAAAGAAATACACCTAAATTCTTCAATAACTATAATATTTCGGAAGCAAGATTTGGTTAACTTTCAAGAATAAAGTTACAACTAACTCCAATATTGCATAGCGTAAACCGCGATGCTTACAACCATAACTTATTCAGTACCTTACTACTACAATAATTAAAATTATTGAATAGTGAAAATGCGGCAAATATGTGAGTCGTAATTACTCGCCTCTTGTAGGTCAACGATAAAATTTAATTTAATCACACGCACATACTGCGATTAGAAAGAGAAAAAATTCTCAGATCGTAGTAAAAGATAAAATCAGAATTTTTGTCATCGATACGCTGTCATTAGAGTGGTTCAACGCAATCACGCGCGGTCGGATAATTTTAATTAAAACCTAACCGTTTGTGTGTCGCCACCATGCTAATGATCCAAATGGGGATATGGAATATACTACGCCTATGGTGTAGGCGGTGGTATCACACTAATTAATTACGAAAACAACGTATTAAAATGTTAACAAAAGGTACAAAAACTAGTATCGACGTATAGCACATATCAAGTACATATATAGTATCAGAAAAATACTAATACTAAATTCAATAAGAAAACCAGCCAAAACAGTGAGAGGACTGTTTATTTACTTGTGAAACGCAACTCCTGGCTTTCTTTCTTATCGCTGCTGCCTTTACATTTGAAAGCTGAACACATCACAATTGTAATAAAAGTTTATACAAATTTACCACACAACAAATTATTAAAAAATCGCTAAAATTGTCGCTGTTGACGAGGTGATGACTCATCTGTAGGCTCCAAAATGATGACAACAAATTCTGTTGCAGCCCGTATATGGGCGTTACATGTCCTTGTATTCAGTCTTTATAAGCGTTTCTATTTCAATCCATGAAAAGAACTAGCCTGTAAAAGATTCACTTGCCCATGGTATATATCTATCCGTCAATATTGGGACAAGAATTTATGCGGTACCTGTATATAAGTATATTCTTTTTATATGTATATGGTTAAATTCTTGTTTTTTTTAATTGTATAAATTGTAAAATTTGTTAAAGTATGTATTGAGATTAATTATGTTGCATTATGTGATTACAACATTAACCTTATTTTGATATTTTCCCAAGGTAAAATACAAATTTAAATTGTAATATGTAAATAGAATATTAACGTTTCTACAATCTATACTAATATATAAAAATCCTTTAAGTGACTGACATACTGATTAATCACGATCCTGCTCCAAACCACTCAACGGAAGAAGATCAATTATGGCATACAGGTTGATTCTAGGTGTAGAGGTCTGATAAGAAGGATTTTCGAAATTCCAGTTCCAAGAGGGTGAAACCACCCCTCAAATATTACAATATTTTTTATTTAAATGTATATTTTATTTTGTTTCTACATATTTTAGGATTTTAAAAATGTATAGGGTGTTTCTGAAAAATCTGGTCATTGATTAATCACGATCCTGCTTTTAAAGCGCTTGACGCAAAAAGCTGATTTTTGAAAACAGATTGACTTTGTGATAGGGTGTAGAGGTTCGATAAGAAGGGATTTTTCGAAACTCGAATTCTAAGGGGGTGAAACTATCCAAATATTAAAATATTTTTTATTTTAAAAACCGGTGAGTTTTTCGGAAAAACTCTTAAATACGTATATTTTATTTTGTTGTTTTACATATTTTAAGATTTTTATAAATTTATACAGGGTCTTTCATAAATATGACCATTGATTAATCACGATTCTGCTTAAACTGCTTAACGTTTAAAGCTGATTTTGGCAAACGGATTGACTGTGGGGTGTAGAGGTTCGATAAGGAGGGGTTTCTCGCATCTCAAATTCCAAGAGGGTAAAACGCCCTCAAATATTACAATATTTGTTATTTAAAAACGGTTAGTTCGGGAAAACGCTTGGACAAGCATAATTTATTTGGTTTTTTTTTACATATTTGGAATTTTTTTTAAAAATCATACAGGGTGTTCCAAAAGTTGGGTAATTTCTTAACCACGACTTGCTTAAACTGCTGGACGTAAAAGCATATTTTTGGAAAAACGAATTTTTCTGAAAGTCAAATTCCAACGAGATGAAACTACCCCCTCAAATATTACCAAGTTATAAGCAATAATATATCGCCATATTGTTTTTTCCCATGCAGAAAATTTTATCCAGTTTGTATGTTAATGGAAATTTTTGCTTTGCTTTATCATTACAAATGATTAAATTGACGCGAACGAAGTCGCTGGTACACGCTAGTAATATATATATAAGCATACACTATATCAACTGAGTGAACCAAATATATTTAATGTGCACCGTTAAGTAGATATTGTTATACAATAACAATATCTCCTTAACTGTCAAAATTTGTTTACAGCCTAAAAACAATGTTTGAATTTAAAAATGTTTATATTTTCATGTTTTTGTTTTATAAAATCAAGATAAAATTGGAGTAAAATAAAAAATAGGGGTACCAAAGATTGATTTGCCTAATAAATATATGCTAAAATACCGAAAACATATTTGGACCCCCTTCCAATACATAACGCTGACAAAGAATTATGTGTTACCTGAATTTTTTGTAAGTCTTCTGGTGTTGATTCGTGAGATTTCCATTCCAATTTTTTCTCCTTCAGCTTTGTCAAGAATGTGTTATCGTTTATCTTTGGATGGGGGAGTTCTCCTTGTGAAAACACTTCCCCAACGAACACACCAAACGCATACACGTCGCTTTTTGTTGAATACTCGTCTTCATAAACAGCTTCATAAGGTAACCACCTCAGTGGTATAACCTAAAGGTTGATAAGAAAATAGGTATTATGATTTTAGTTATTACAGTTTATGATTACTTTTTTTCTAAATCTCAGTTCAAAAATGTTCATTACAAATAAGTTTGAGTTTGCCAAAGCTCCCAAAATGCAATTTTTTATTAAAAAGTTTATAAAGAATTTTTTCAACATATAATATGACAAAAAGAAACATAATTTAACATACAATTATTGTCTCATGGCGGCCAAATTATAAAATATTCTATACATCAATGACTAAAGAATACAAGGACTGTAACGCTCATATACGGACTGCAGCAGAATTTTGTGACGTTAGACGCCATTTTATTGGAAGTAACGAATGAGTCATCAGCTGGCCACCAGCGAAAATTTTAGCGATTTTTAATACTTTGTTGTGTGTAGTGAACTTTGTATAAACTTTATTAGAATGGAATATATTTTATAAGGTAGAGATAAGAATAAATTGTTCAGCTTTCAAGTGTAAAAGGCGCAGTGATAAGAAAGAGCCAGGAGTTACGTTTCATAGGGAAATAACCCACCCACCTTTTTAGCGGTTTTTTTTATTGAATTCGATAATTATTTTTCTGATATATGAATATCGCTTCAAGCGGCCATGTTAAGAAAAATATATGCCACGCACTGTTTGGAAGAGTGGTCATGCATTGTCCTTCTTCGGTGTTATTTGTTTTTATTCTTTTAGTCATTGCTATACGTATTAAAAAAAACTGGAGTTAGGCGACAAAATATGGAAAATTTCAAGAGACAACTTCGACTTAACTTTTATGTGCGAAGGTTCATACAGGGACTTATGAACTTAAAAATATTTCAGTTTTTTGATTAAGTATTTTTAATTTGATTTTTTTTTTTTGATTTTGAGTTTAAAAAGTTTCTTCGAGAATGTATTTGTAGATTTTTTTCAAAATTTAAAGAATAATTTAAGATAAATTAAGAAATTAAAAACGAAAACTGAAAATTTCAGTGTTTTCCGCCATATTTCCAGAAATGACAAATAGCGCAACTAGTGAATGGATTATCAGTGGTCTCATAAATGACAAATAGTGCAACTAGTGAATGGATTATCAGTGGTGTCTATAGACATGCTATAGACTTTCTAAATAATCTGATACTTTCTTTTAGAGGGAAAAAACGATAGATATATTAGGTTGAAGATTTTCTGTTTTATAAACCATTGCAACAAGTTTGCAACTTAAAATTGATATTTTTTATTTTTCACAATTATTTACAGAATAGTAAAGAAAAAAACCTGTTCTATTTGGAATTATCCCCGTTGATTTAAATTATTTTTGTGTAGTTTTAACGAAAAAAAAATATGAATTTTTGAAAATCTTCTGAATAATATCAAAATTAAATTTTTTGAAAGTAGGCAGATAGACATAATTTCAAATCCTGCACAACTTTTCTCTTCGACCTTGCTGAATATTTTGTCCCCAAACTAATATTGAAAGATGATTTTTGTTTGTAATTTGCTGCTATGTCCTCTATGTCAATTTCCTTTATATAGGGCATGCCGAAGAAATTCTGCATAACTCGATAATAAAAAATCCCAATTATTGCGATCTCTTTGGCTTACTAAAATTTAATAGAAAAAACTTACCTGATTAACATGTTTACAGTATTCTTGACTGTAAGGGTCTCTGGATAGCTTCGGTATTCCGACTTTAACTACTAAACTAGAAGTTACTAAACAATTCCTGGCGGCTAAATCCTTGTGCACCATTCTGTTGTTTGCTAAATGGTCCATTCCTCTACACAATTGGTGAATGATACCGACACATTGGACTGTCGTCAGTGGTGGTGGGGTACCTGTCTTTGTAGCAACTAGGAATTTCTTTAAGTCACCCTAAGTACAAAATAAAGTGGTATAGTTAAGTAATATTTAGAAAAAAATCAACGTTACCATTTAAATAATTAAATTAGCTGTAGTAGTAGAAGTCTTTGTATTTCTTGTTTATTATAATTGCTTTTATAGAAAGTGTATATGTATGTCTGGAAAGACATTATGCCAGGACTTGAATTACAATGGTATTAATGTGAGTTTTAGAAAGAGGATTTAAAATAGTTACTTGTGCAGCGTGCGACCGATTCCAGGCAAAAAAAAGGATTAAAAATAATGCAACAACTCTTCACTACTAGGTAATTATACTGGTTAAGTCTTAAATAAATGCAAATATTTTCTGTTGATGTCTTGTTAAAAAGAAACATTATTTTCTTACCGTTTTTCAAATAACCCAAAATAACTGAGTTATTTTACTTGAAAAAAAAAATTTAGAAAAAAATATTTTTTGGTTAAATTTTGCAAACACCTGTAGCTTGGATTTTTTTTCTTTTAAATTTAATCTACTACTTATATTGGCATATTGTGAAGATATGCTGTTTTTAATTAAAATCACAAAAAAATTCAAAATTTTCAATTTTTTTTAAATAATCTCGTAGACGTGTTTCTGGAATCGAAATATACTACCCCTAAAATATATTTTCACTTGTTTAAGAAACGCCCTGTGTACTCCAACGAGTCAGGGAAGATTTTGACATCCAAAAATTACAGAAAATGCAATTTACATGTGCATTTAAATGAAAAACATTACATATCATAGACACATGACGTCACTGTATCATCTCGTTGAACCAACTATAATAAGCGTTAAATATTTGTATTTTTTGTTATTAATTATATTAATTTATTTATTTCATTAGAAATATAAATTTCCAACAATTTTAATAAGTATTACAACATTTATTGATTCAACACAAAACAAAACCAGCAAATTATTGAGTCTACCCTACTTTATATCTTAACACATTACTTGTCGTCCACTGTCCTATTGCTGCTAAAAGTCACTAACTTACTTTTTTATTACTTCCGAGAAAAACGCATAGAAAAACGCGTCTAAAGATTAATTACATTGCATAAAGTTGTTATTAGTGACTATTCTGTATTAAAATACAGCATAAATAGCCAGAAATCGTAGTTTTGACTTTTTCAGTCGATTCTCCGCTTCAAAATATAGTTAGTGATTGAATTTCAGGTTATTCGAAAATGTCAGTTAATGACTTTTGGCAGCAATAGGACGTTATGTGGTCTGCATTTTAAAGCGTGTGACAGAGAATAATATAAATGATCAGTTGACAGATAGAGAGACAAAAAAGCGGCATACAGTGTTGCCGGTTTTTGGTTTGGTTTGGTTTATCCGTTTTTTTATGTATACTTTAATGATAATATAGTCTATAAACTAAATAATATAATCTATTACAGCTGTAGTAAATGAGTAACTAATAGTGAAAATGAAGTTCAACTCCTAGACAACAGCAACATTTTCGTAAACGCCTACTTGTGCGGTTTGAAATTTTGATGCAAAATCCGCAATATCGCATAGAAGAAATGTGTCGATCCAATTTTTTATCTCTTTAATACATTTGATTTTCCATGAAGCTGTTTACATCACTGTCTTTACTACACGTTAAAATCCAGACCGCACAGTTTCGATGACCAAATCGGTATACCATATAACAAATACAAATAACATAAACTAGAATGTGTGTTAGCGCCATATTTAAGTACCATCGCGGGCCGCTTATTTTTTGATTTTCCACTTCCTTGATCTTTTTGTTCAATGATTACAAACAAGTTTTCGAAATAGCGTATAACTGAGGTACTCACCCAATCAGTATGTTCCATAATCATATAATGGGGTTCTTGTTCCCTGCACAACCCAAACAACTTAGTTATATTTTCGTGCGACAGTTTAGTGAACATATCTATTTCTCTCTTGAATTCCATTAGAGTACTTTCATCTTTGGTTTGAGATAGAACCTTAACTAAACAATGCAGTTCTTTATCCTCCTGTGCTTTCTCATCTGACGGCTTTTCAGAAGATTTGTCAGTTTTATTTGATGTACCTGACGTTCTTTTTTCTGAATGTATTAATGTCACACTGCTGTGAGAAACTTTAGCTATGAGAATATCGCCAAATTCACCGCGACCGATCAGTGTCAAATCTTTAAGCAAAGTTCTGCTTAGTGCTAATCTGAAATAAAGTAAAAAATAATATTATACGTTATAAGTCCAGTAAATCAACTTTTAGAATATGAGTGAGATGTTTATTAAGAATTTCGAAGCGAATACTCTAAAAGTTAATTGCGGACGAATGACATACAAGGATTTATTTTATACTGTTTGGATACAACCTATGTTTTTAAATAATTGAGTATTTTAGTCCGCTAGAGTATATTTTGGATACTATTGAATTTACTAGGCGAAACATTGTCAGTACTGACATAAGTACTACTATAGATAAAGGAAATAAATTTAGATTGGTAGCATATTTCGGCCTCAGAAAAACGCCTATGAGATTTTTTTAAAAAAAAAATTAGAGAATTTTTAATTTTGAAAAATTTAATAAAAAAAAATTTTTTAGTTTTAAGTTAAAAAACATAATTTCTTGATAATATGGCAACACAACACATCAATTATGATTAAATTTTAGCGATGGGTTGTTATTTAACTATCTGTAATTTTATACTACTATTATTTAGAAATAACATAACGCAACTGTTACTACTTTTAAAAAATAACAAATATAAAATAATGACACGCAGAAATCGACTGTTCGTGAAACGAAGTTGGCGCTCTGCACCGCCACGAAATTCGATGCTGCTCGAAGCAATTCCAAAAACAACTAGTATGGATGGAAAACATGTTATTACGACAACCATCGATACAGGCGGCGAGATAACGGACAACGGAGTACAGCTTTTAAAAATAATAGGATATAAAAGAAGCAGCTTTTTTGAAACAGTTGTGGGCATAACGCCTGGCGGTCGAGATAACAGGAGTGGGAAAGGAACGCTGCTGCATCGGTCGATTGTCGATGGAGGCTCGCAAAGGGTTGGAGAATAACGCATCAGTTGTTTTTTAACCTGTTACGAGCATAACAGAGCGGCGGTCGAGATAATCGGAGTGGGAAAGTAACGCTGCTGCATCGGTCGATTGTCGATGGAGGTTCGAAACAGGCTGGAGAATAACGCATCAGTTGTTTTAGATACATTGTTTTTCAACCTGGTACGAGCATAACGGGCGGAGGTCGACATATTATGGCGCTGTATGCTTCAGTACTTGGTTATTAAGTTTCAATATTTAGGTGTTTATTTATTCTGAAAAATTTTCAGAGTAATATTTTAAGATTTTTTAAAATGTATATAGGGTGTTTGAAAATCTAGTCATTGATTAATTACGATCCTAAGCGCCCTTGACGTAAAAAAGCTGATTTTTGGAAAACGGACTGACTTTTAGGTGTAGAGAGGTTGGATAAGAAGGATTTTTCGAAACTCAAATTTAAGGGGTGAAACCACCCCCTAAAAAATATTAGAATATTTTTTATTTAAAACTGGTGAGTTTTTCGAAAACTCTTTAAACACGTATATTTTATTTTGTTGTTTTACATGTTTTAAGATTTTTAAAATATATACAGGGTGTTTCATAAAATATGAGCATTGAGTAATCATGATTCTGCTTAAACTGCTTGACGTTTAAAGCTGATTTTTGGCAAACGGATTGACTGGGGTGTAGAGAATGATAAGTGAGGTTTCTCGAATTCAAATTCCAAGAGTGGTGAAACCACCTCCTCAAATATTACAATATTTGTTATTTAAAAACGGTGAGTCTTCGGGAAAACGCTTATACACACGCATACAATTTATTTTGTTTTTTCCATATTTTGAAATTTTTAAAAATCATACAGTGTTCCAAAAGTTGAGTAATTTGATTAACCACGATTCTGCTTAAACTGCTCGACGTTTAAAGCTTATTTTGGCAAATGTGAGAAAATTTATCCAGTTTGTATGTTAATGGAAATTCTTGCTTTATCATCACCATTACAAATTAATAATCTGACGCGAACGAAGTCGCGTTTACACGCTAGTTTAAGTGTAAAATTAATTCGAACTCTAATGTGTAGTTGGTTTATTTATGAAGAATATACTATACATTTTTCTAAATTGCTATTTTTCGACCGCAATGGTAAAATCATAACTAGAGCTTCTCGCCCGTCGAGTGAGATGCGCTCTGTACAGTGCTACGCAATTCAGGATATACCCGGATCGAGGGGCAGGGCGTTGGTAGATCGGAATGTATAGGTATAGACGAGTGGCGGCATTTTGGCTTTTTTATATCGCAATTTGTAAACAGCGCTTATTTGTAAACAACCACCGTTTTTAGAGAGGTATTTTATAACAAGGTAGGTAGAGATAACAATCGATATTTAGAAATGTTATGCCCCACCGAGCACGTCATTGTTGCATCTTGCAACTGCGTTAATACGCTTGGCGATGACCGCCTCATACTCTTCCAGATATTTAGCAATAAAAATAAAGAAACCTGTTATTTTTAAGCTGTTATTTATAAATAACTATAACAGCTTCAACTGTTATCTAAAATAACAGTTTTACCCATCACTATTAAATTTACATGAAAGAAGATCCAAAAAAGATCCAGTGGTCCGCAAAATTTAAGCAAAAGCATTTTTGTTTAAATTTTCAAAGTAAAATAACTCGGTTATTTTGGACACACTGTTGTTTCATTTATCTAAATTGTTTCATTTATCTATGGTTCTAATTTTATTTACATCAGAGAAGAGTCACTTAAAAGTCAGTGGTATTAAATGAATTTACTTATTTTAAAAAAGCTGATAAAATGGAGTGTTGATTAGTACTGAAAATTTGATGACAGACAGTGTTGAAAGACAGATGATGACAGAAAAAAGTTATGGCGCAACCTAACGAGACTACAGAGTAGTTGATACCAAAATAATCATCAGGACGATATATGAAAAAGAATATTATGCAAATAAAATTATTATAGTTTTTATTTCATACGTGATTAGAAAAGATTGTTTTAAAATACTTATTCGGTATTTTATTCTGAGTGAATAAAAATCTTGTTAAAAATTTAAAAATGTTTTTCTGGTAAAAAAGTTTGATAGGCCTACTCCGGTAATTTTTTTACTGGACTTACTACTGTAAAACTTTATTTTCCTAATTAAAATCAAGTATGTAAATGTGTTTTAGGATACAGTATGAAACAGATAATGGCGTTACAACTAGAAAAAATCTTACTTATCATAGCTTGTTTTGGATTTTTTCGATTGGTTGGAGCCTTGGGAATTACAGGTGTCAGCTCCGTCGCTTTTTTGTCCTTCTTTGTGGGTTTCTACGCCATTCATCGCTGTTTTGGATGGTCCAGGACCGGTTCCGTTTTCATTCGCTTTTAATTCTTGATGTTCCAAATCTCCATTTTCTAATTTTCCTGTAAGAAAAACCATACCATTTACGGAAATTCTACCTTGGTTTGCGCAATTTATATATTAAGATTAAATAAAATATTGCTTAAAGTAGAATCGTATGATAATATATGTGACGAAATTGTAGGCGTTATCTTTGTGCAAAAGCTACTGAGTTTACAATCTATAGAGGTAAGTTTTTCGACTGTTCTTTACTTGTACACAATCTCCTAAACAACAATAAAAAACACTTGACATTTTAAGAAGTATATCATCTCTAGCCTTTGGAAACAAAAAATAAATAGCAATCTATACTAATATATAAACTTTACGTGACTGACTCACTGATTAATCACGATCCTGCTTAAACCACTCAACGTAAGAAGCTCAATTTTGGCATACAGGCTGATTCTAGGGTGTAGGGGTTCGATAAGAAGGTTTTTTTCGAAATTCCAGTCAAGAGGGTGAAACCACCCCTCAAATATTAAAAAAAAAAACATTTTTTATTTAAAAATCGTTTCCGGAAAACGCTTAAACACGTATATTTTATTTTTGTTATTTTACATATTTTAAGATTTTTAAAAATGTATACCGGGTGTTTGTATAAAAATATGACCATTGAGTAATCACGACTCTGCTTAAACTGCTTGACGTAAAAAAGCTTATTTTTGGCAAAGGATTTTTCAAAAGTCAAATTCCAACGAGATGAAACTACCCTCAAATATTACTAAGTTATATAATAATATCGCCATATTATTTTTGCTCATGCTGACATAAATGTGAGAAAATTGTATTCAGTTTGTATCTTAATGGAAATTCTTGCTTTGCTTTATCAATACATACCAAACCATTACAAATGATTAAATTGACGCGAACGAAGTCGCGGGTACACGCTATTTAAAGTTTATAAAAAAAGTAAAAAAGAGAACACTTTAAAGCTCTATATACTCACTATTCAATGATGCGGTTCGTTGATGCGATTTCTCAATGCGATTCGTTAATGGGTCGAATCGGCGATGCAATGGGTTTTCGAGCAATTCGGCGGAATGTCGGTTTATGGGCGAACCATCAAAAGAAATATCACGAACACAATGGACAAATTTCCCAACGAACTAACGAATCGCATCGACGAACCGTATCGACGCATCGTTCATGAACGCACCAAATCGACAATTAGCACATAGTGAATATGGGGCTAACGCCTTCAAATTCGTTGATTATGAATTTTTGTGTATAAATAAAAAGCAAATGAGGAATTTGTCTCTAAACTCCAAATCCTAAAATTTTATTTTTTATATTTTATTATTTATATTTTTGTTTCAAAGGCAGTATTTCAGAAGTATGTATGTAGAAATTGTTAGATTGTAGTAATATCTGTAATTATATTGTACTAGTACTCATGGCTATATAATTTACTTTACACAATTTTTGGACACACCCTGTAGAAAAGTCAACGTACCATCCGCAATTGGTAATTTTCTAGACCTCCTTCTGTAGCGGCACCAAATCATTAGTCCGATAACTAAAACAATATAGGCGCCTGCAACGGACATAGTAATCAAGACAGCTTTGGTCACTGTGGTATCTCCATCTCCTCCAGCGTGGTATCCATCTTTCCCTGTAATATATTTTTTTTAAGATTTTTTAAAACTACATCAACTAGTAAGTTATAAAACAATATAGGCAATACGGTTTTATTTAAAATTTAATTCAAAGTACTTAGCAATACGTAACTGAACGAAGTACAACAG